ACCCAAACCACCACAGGGGACTTGGCTTTTGCACGTTCACTGGTGTAGGTGCCATGTGTAGCTTCCTACACTTGCTACTTCATCTCTTGGGTGTATTTTAGGCTGCTCGCTGTTGCACAAGGTTTATTCATAGCCTGTCATGATGCTCATCTACAGAACATCAGTACGTATTCTCTGCCACAGCAGATGGTTTCCACTTTCCATGTCTTCCACGTGGGGCAGATGCTGCAAAATCAGATTTCCCTTGGTCATGACCTTTGATTGGCATCTTCCTGCCAGTTGTTGTTTCATAACCGGTCCTGGAATTGGCTTTGGACTGTCTGTATGACTTGTACATCTGATGCCTGGATGTGGCTTGCAGGAGTGTGCCGGATGTCTGACGAGTTATTAGGGCCGTTAGTCATGCTGTAGAGCATGTGACAGCAAGACAGCACTACTTGAATCAGCCAGGATTCTTGATCTTGCAATGGAAATTTGCTGAAAAGTGAAGTTCCCTGGTGTTAATCCAGCTCAAGTGAAGCTCTCTCCAAGAGCAGTGGTCCTGCTGTTTGTTACTACTGTTCCCATTTTTGCGTTCAAGCTCAAGCAAACACCAAGGGTTTTTTGGGTTGATTCAACCTACTGCTCAGCCACATGAGCACAGGGAGGCGATGGGATGCATGAGGATGGAGCAAGGATGGGATGGTCCCTTTTGGTGGCAGTCCACAGGAGCAGTGAGAGTTTTAGCATCTCAGGAAACCCGAGGCCAGAGTCGTGAGGCTGCACAGGAGGGCGGTGGAAGCAAAGTCTGAGTTTTCAGCTTTGATGTCTGCGTTTGCTCTCATTCCAGCCACGATGCTTTAATCTCCAAAATGCTACGCTAGGTTTTTGCTGTGCTCAGCTTGAAGTTTTTCCAAGACATCACACTGCTGAAATAGCAGAATTTGCCTGTGGATTCCAGTGCAGTGATCAGTCTCTGTTTATTGGGGTGATAAACTTTCCACGAGAGTAAGGGTGGAGCAAAGCCTTTTACATGTAGTCAAGCCAAATCGCTCAGCAGCAAGACCAAAGCTGTTAAGCAAATTCAGGTGATTTCTGCTTGCAGCAGCCTCTGCTAGAATAGGCTGCTTTTTCTCCAAAGGAGAACGTGCACATGTCGTGCCTGGATTTTCTTCCCTTAATGTGTTGTTCTTGTTTAATACCATGGAGCAATTCCTTGTTTTGATGTGATTTTGTAAGTTAATTGCATTAAACTGATGATGGTTTGTTAGCTACAGATGTTCAGCTTTCTCACAGTCGCTATTTATTGATATGTTCTTCTTGCTTAATGCCATGGAGCAATTCCTTGTTTAGACTTGATTTCGTATGTTAATTGCATTAAACTGATGATGGTTTGTATTTCAAGTATTGAGTGGTACCTTTGAATCCTCAAGATGAGACCTCTGCTCTGCCTGTGGCTTTTCATCCTGTGCTCTTTGAATCCAGAACAGCTCATCTAGCACAGACTGCTTCACAGCACCATGACCTTTCCAGTCCTCTGCCAACACAATTGCTCGCCATTAAAAACCTCAAATTTGACTGCCAAGACAAAAGATACTTTTTCCTCAATCAATCTCTTTTGTTGGCAACCTCCTTCTTAAGTGTTTCCAGATCTGCTGGTGTTATTTGTGGAGTTCCTGCGGTTTACCATGACAGTGGACTCGGTGGCACCAGGACACCTTGCTTGTTGCTGAAATAGAGCCAAGCTACATCATGAATTATGCAGATGGGCTGTGATTAAATAAAATTTTATGCAGATTTTCTTAGGCTGCCCCTTTTTACTGTTCATAAGAGGAATGGATCCAGAGATGCCTGTATCTCCAGTTTGCAGAAGACAGCTGTGAAATCATCTAGCCTCATCTGCCTGCTTGGATCCTGCAGGCAACAGGCATGTTTTAATATTTACATCAAGCTTACAATTTATCTTTCAAGCTTTGCCCCTTCCTGAAACGATGCTAAATGTTGACTTCTGTTTGAGCGAGCCGAGTGTCCCGTGTCCCTCGTAACTTTATTTCAGTAAATAGTGTAGATCTGAGGAGCCCTGGCTTGGGCTGAGAGGCTCAGCAGGGTTTGTCAGTGATGCTCCTGTGGTTCCAGGATGTGTGAGTGATGCAACCTAGGTCTGAAAATTAGATCTATTTTACAGCATTTTTATTCTAGCAAAGCCAGTAGGTAAGTTCTTGACTGCAGAGCTGGCAGCATTGCTGCTGAAAAACCCTCAGAAGAAAATCGAACCCTAAAAATATGCCTGAAACTAATAATGTCTTCTGTAGACTGGCACTTAAGTTGCTTTTTTTAATGTTCTGTGCTGCAGCTTCACCTTGCAGGAGCTTCCACTTAGAGCAGAACCTTCCTGAGGCTTAAAGCTGAGAATGTTACTCCAAGTTCATGGGCTACTCTTGACTCATAAGGCTTTGAGTGGGTAAAGCTAAGTCAAGGGCATGGAACCCCAGAGAGTGCTAAATTATTGTGTTGCTTCCTTCCCTACATGAAATGCCCTTCTTTTGAGTCTTGCTGTAATTTATCCTCCTTTCTTACATCCAGTAGGAATTTAATTTTAATTGCAATGCTCCCTCTTTACCAAGAAAGGCTGTAAATTGACTTTTTTCCCCATGCTCTGGGAATGGGATTCTTTGCCTTCCTTAAGAGCCTTTCTGCAATTTTATTCTCCTGTATACCTTAATTAACACACTCCTAATCTGAGTAGTTTCCTTCCTGATTTGCGCTTTTCAAGACTCTTAACCTGATGTAGAAGTTGTGGTAGAAGTACTCACTGGATATATATCTTGAATTTATAAGTTTTAAACTTTCCATAGAATATTCTGTTATTCTCTTCTATTATTCTCTATGATTCTTTAAAAAGTAGAGATGATGATCTTGGTATTAGAGATAATTAGGTAAGTCCTCATCAGATTTTACTGAAAACTCAACATTCACTCACTATGAGTTACTTCAAGAGTTATTGCAATTATTCAAGCCTTCAGCAATAAGCTGGTGGCCTTAAATTATCATTCATGTTGGGTTGGGGATATTTGAAAAAGTTTTGGAGCTGTCTGGATCACATCCCATCATTTGGCTTTCTGAATTCCTTCTGCATCAAACCATCCTGTTTTCTTGGGGGAGTTAATTGCTGTTGACACTTCCTATTAGGAGCAGTAGTCTCCCAAGACCAGGTTGGGTAAATGTTTTACATGGGACGTTTAACTCCGGTTAGACTGGGAATTCCTGCAATACTCTGTAATATCTCATTAATGCGTTCCGATGACTTGATACCTAATATGATTCCCCAAGCATGTGAGTAACGAGATTAAAACCATCCTACGATAATCTTTGGCAACTGCATTTTGTTCTTTTTGAGTAATACATGAGAGCGTAAATTCTGTACTGGTTAAGCTTTGGTAATCTCAGTGCCACGTTCATTGTATTGTTGGCAAGTTAATGAGTGCCGATGGACAGATTAACGAGGCTTTCCTAAATCTATAGTAGGGTGCAAAGTTATTATGTTGCTGACAAACTCCAGCCTTAGTGTTTCCCTGTTCTACTGCCTTGACCTCTGCTAGGCTAGACTCCCTGAGAAGACGCAAAACCATGCAGTTACACAAGCAATTTAGTTCTAGTGTCTGATAATTAGTTATGTTTTTTGCTATTTTTAATATTGATCTCTTGTGTAAATATAGGTGTGTGGATGTATTTACCTAAAACAGACCATAAAATTTATAATCACTATGGTTTCAGGTCCCATGCTATATAGTTTACAATTTGTAATTTATTTTTTTAAAATAATTTTCAGTGAAATAGAAGGACACTGAATAGAAGGACATCTTTTGACACAGGGCAAAACCCCATGTATAAAAACAAAACCACTTCCATTGTGTTTTGGAACTGCTTATGAGATGTAGACTGGATTTTTTTTATTATTTTTTTATTTTTTTAAGTGTTATGCAGCTTGATACTGATGCCGAGACGCCAAATGCATGTACTAGATACTGATTAGAAATATTTGCAGTTAGCCCTACACTGAATTCCTTCCTGTATAGGCTGGTCTGATTTTAATTTTTGACTAAGAGGTCATTCAAGGTGTGCTCCACAGCTCAGTGAGTGTTCAGACACAGAGGCTGGTTTTTTCCCTTTTCTTCTGCTGCCTTTCAGAAAGCTAATGCACCCAAAAAGCCACTGTCAGCTGCGTGTAAATACTGCGTATGAATTCTTGCTGAGAAATCTGTTGCGGAGCTGTTGGGTGGGAAGGGCAGGCTCTGGCTTCTACCAGTTGAGTGTTGAGAGTTTTGTGTGCAGCTTACAGCAAAATGGTTTGCACATATGCTTAATGACTGTGATTGCTTATATTTACATGGTGATAGGTCAAAGTTTAAATCTTTGCTCTGTTTTTAAAGGAAAACTTTTTTTTCCCCCTTCTCATGAGTATAACAAGAGTAAACTTTGTGTAAGGTTGTGCTAAAAAATGACAGCTTTTTCTTATCTTGGTTGAAAAAGCAGCCCTTTTTTGGACATGTCTCATTTTCTGCAAGGACTGTCATCTTCCTAACTGCTCAGATGAATGCCAGCCCACATTTGGGGTTTTACTCTGCCCGGTGCTTAGTGCAACATAGGGAACTCTGTCTCTTGTTCCATAAATCCAAGCATTTCAGCTACCAAAGGTAGATGCTTTCATGTGGTCGTGTTATTGTTTAGAAATCCTTTTGTCTATTCAAGGGTGTAGCTGAGCAAAGCCTGCACAGATTTGGCCTTCGGTTCATTCCCAGTGCGTGCTGAAACTTATTTGCTTGCTGGGCAAAATCAAACAGACAGGACACTCGAGACATAAAAATAAATGCTTTGCCCAGCATTTATTTTTACCGGCAGAATACCGGCAGAAAGGTATTACTGATGTCCCATTGACTGATTTCAATTCTTTTCATGTTCTTGCAGCTGAAGGGCTGCCCCAGGTGTATTACTTCGGACCGTGTGGAAAGTACAACGCCATGGTACTAGAGCTGCTTGGTCCTAGCTTGGAAGATTTATTTGACCTCTGTGATAGGACGTTCACTTTGAAGACGGTATTAATGATAGCCATCCAGCTGGTGAGTAACAGTGGGCAGAACTCTGCCTGGCAGCCTCCACGATGCCGACTTGTGTTTAAGTCAGTCCTGGATTAGCTGAAGGACAGGGTTGGTACAGTGTGAGGTTCAGGGGTGTCTGTTGGTTGGAGAGAGAATCTCTTTCCATTGTAGAATCACAGAATAGTTTAGGTTGGAAGGGACCTTCAAAGATCTAGTCAAACCCCGCTGCCATGGGCAGGAACATTTTCACTAGATTAGGTTGTTCAAAGCCTGGTCCAACCTGATCTTGAACACTTCCAGTCATGGGGCATCCACAGCTTCTCTGAGCAACCTGGTCCAGTGCCTCACCTCCCTCATCATGAAGAATGTCTTCCTTGTGTCCTACCTAAACCTAACCTCTTTCAGTTTAAAAGCATTGCCCCTTGTCCTGTCCCTTGGTAAAAAGTCTCTCTCCATCTTTCTTATAAAAGAAAGCTTCTCAGGTTTGAGAAAAACTCTTGCTTATGAAGGGAAGGTCAAATTATGCTTATGAGCAAACTTGCTTGCGTAGCAGAACCAGTGAAGCTGGATTCCGAAGGACGTGCGTCCTGTGTCCCCTACACACCCCTGCCCCAGTATCTACCCCAGCTCCCTCCCTCTGTTTGGACATCCCCCAGAACATCTCATTTCTTACCTGCTCCCCAGGACACAAGGAGCACCACACCTCCCACACTCCTACCAGTTTTACTGGTTTGGTGCTACCAGGCTGCTCATAGACTGAAACCTCTCAGAGTGATAGGAGCTGAGCTCTCCTTAGCCAAAGCACCAGCATTCAAGGTCTCTGCCTTGGTCAAATGTGTTCAAAATTGGCCAATGGGTTTAAATGACTAACAGCTGGAAAATAATAGGTCTATGGGCAGCATCACCAAACCCCTAATTTGTCTGAAAAGGAAAGGAAACCAAGCTGGAAGTGGTAGCTTGGATTTGTGTTTGTGTTAAAAGAGGACAATGTGAAAACTGAATGTATTAAATGTGGTGAGTGAACTTCCACAAGTCAGTAGAGCCAATCAATTTTCACTTTACTTTGGCTTTCTGGTTTTCAGCCTGTGGTCTACAGATCGCCAAGTGGCACAGCAGAGGTGGGACTGTATATTCATGTTAACAGACCTGTGGCTAGAAGTGTTGAAGGAAAGAAAAGTGGGTAAGAGAGTGAGGAACACAATCCTTTCTAAATAAACTGAAGCTTGCCACAGCAGGAAGATTGAGGTCACAGATCCAGAGGTCTGAACAGCGCCTGTGTGGTACTGGGTTCCTGATGTTGACCTCCTATGGCTGAGTGGTCTAGTTTTGTTGGGTTTGAGTGTTTCTTCATCAATGGAAAACCAATTTATAGTGTTGTTTTGATTAAATCAAGTGGCATCAGGTGGCAAAGCCTTGGATATAACTTATATGACCTTTTGGTTTTAAAGATGTAAAATGTAAAGATGCAAATTTATTCCTGTGAGACTGCTGGGGAAATCAAGATTGTGTCCATCTCCCTTTTACAAAGCCCTAGGGTTGCAAATTAGCTCTGTACTTGGAGGGTCTTCACTGGCATCTTCTGCTGATCTTGTGACCATAACCAACCTGACAACTCATCTAGACACTGGTACCAGTTTGAAAAACAGATGCTTAGGGTGACGCAGGGGAACACCAAATGTATTCGCAAATGGAGGAGTTGATGTTCTCCAAAAGGAGCGGGCAGTACTGCTCCTTTTTCCATGGGGAGATGTTTTAGAACCTTTCTGATTTTCTCAGGAGAAATAGTCCTATAGGCTGCCCAGGGATGTGGTGGAGTCACCTTACCTGTGGTATTTAAAAGATGGTTAGACAAGGTGCTTAGGGACATGGTTTAGAGGTAGAATTGGCAAAGCTGGGTTCATGGTTGGACTCAATGATCTTAAGGCTCTTAAAGGTCTTTTCCAGCCACTATGATTCTATGATTCTATTACGTGAGTTACCAGATTGGAGTGTATTAAGGAGATAGATTTACCATTTTCAGGTGTGCCCCATCTCCTTCCCTGCGAGGTTTCCTGGGAAAAGGGCTCACCTGGCCCTCAGAGACATGTTTCTTGAAGGGGCTGGCACTTACTGCTTAACTGGAATGAAAACCTTTTGCTCCAGCCACAAGGCTTTGGGGAAAATTGTCTTAGATTTATCTTAGTTCCCACACTAAATCATTGCAGTCGCTGTGTCACACTCCAGTGTCAGAGATACTTCGGAAAAGGCAAGTTGAACTGTCAAATTCAGTGGGTTCACCTCCATAAATTATGTTTTGTTCTTACTTTTGACCAGCCAAGCCTGCTTAAGCTGCTGTAATTCTAACCACAGGCGTGAGGAGACATAAAATTTCAATGCCAGAATCCAGTGTGTCGCACAAGCAGTGTTTTTCTCCTCTCATGCTTGACACAAAGCCTAATATCCAGGGAGACTTCCAAAAACGTGAATGGCTTAGCATCATCCAGATAGCAGAGAGGAGCACCTTGCCCTGATGTAGGTATTGAGGGACAACTCAGCACATTGCAGAAAACTTCTGATCTGGTTCGGTTCTTACCAAAAATGTCATCAAATTATATATTTTTTTAAGCCTAGGAAGACCACCCAAAGGTAAAGTAGTTATAGTTGTCTGGGAGTCACTTTTGTGTTGGCTCTCCTGCCTTGAGCTTCATCCTCTCCAGAGACAGAGGAAGGAAACATCTGCCATGGATGTCTTTGCACTTGTTGGAGCAGTAACGCTGGCAGCTGTGGTGCCCTGAGCTAGCAGGATGTCAAGCATCCCCTGCTTTGGCCCCTAGATCTTTCTCCCCTCACTTCCATGTAGTGGTCCCCATGTCTTTAGGAACATCCACCCGCTTCTCTGCTGGTTCCTTGCCCTTGCCTGCCGCAGGCTCAGCCCAACAGCAGCCAGCTGCTGCTTTCAAGGTCCCATTTAGCTGCCTTCTCCTCCCTCTCCCTCCTTAAGCCTGACTACTGCTGCAGCACATCTCTGACACATCTACACGTGTGTTGCATGCTAAAACTAGGCAGGACTTTGTAGGTGGTGTGGGAACTGCTTCCTCCATCCTCCATGTGAAGCTGAACAGATCATAGAATCACAGACTGGTTTGGGTTGGAAGGGACCTTAAAGCTCATCCAGTTCCAACCCCCCTGCCATCAGCAGGGACACCTGCCACTAGACCAGGTTGCTCAAAGCCTCATCCAACCTGGCCTGGAACACTTCCAGGGAGGAGAGGCCACAGCTTCTCTGGGCAACCTGGGCCAGTGTCTCACCACCCTCACACCAAAGAATTTCTTCCTCACATCTCATCTCAATCTTCCCTCTACCAGTTTAAAGCCATCACCCCTTGTCCTGTCACTCTCACCCTGCTCTTCTCCAAAGTCCCTCCCCAGCCTTCCTGGAGCCCCTTCAGGTACTGGAAGGCTACTAGAAGGTCTCCCCAGAGCCTTCTCTTCTCCAGGCTGAACAGCCCCAACTCTCTCAGCCTGTCCTCATAGGAGAGGTGCTCCAGTCGGATCATCCTTGTGGCCTCCTCTGGACTCGCTCCAGTAGGTCCATGTCCTTCTGATGTTGGAGGCCCCAGATTGAATGGCCAGCATTCCTGAACAAAGCAAAGCGTGGCAATTAAAAACATGTTCACTAACATGAAGTCCCTAAAGCCCTGAAGTCAGAAGTCATCAATGCATCAATAAATCAGAAGTCATCAATATAAGACCAGAGAATGTCTTGTATTCTGGCCTCAATTTTTTACTTTTGGCCTGGTCCAACATGTGCGATGCTCATTGACAACTTTGTTTTGTCAGGAGTAAATGTCATTTTCACCTTCACTTTAAGTGTTTGCTGTTGGAGACCAGACTCATTGTGCCACACCCTGTGCAAACACTTCTGGCTGCAATACGGGCCGAGTCATCACAACGTTTTTCACTTGTGACTATCAAAAGCATCTTGCATAAGAGACACCAAAACAGCCTTTAAGCAGGAGGAATTGTTGATCTCTGCTGATCTGATCTGTGTTCTAGCGGGTGATGTGTGGAAGAAGGGCTCAGGTTTATCAGGAGGGCTTAGAGATAGGATTGCCAGTGAGATCAGATCCTCAAGAGTTATGTTTTTGGGGAAAGAGGGTTTATTATTTATTCTCCTTGATGGGAGAAAGGAAAATAAAAGCATGAGTTCCTTTGGCATCTGGTTAAATGTCACAAATATCCTCTCATATTTCAGCCGCAGCATAGGGGTCCTGCTGTGTGTCAGGGCATGCTCTCCTCTCCCAGGGGCTTCTCTGACATCTGAATGGAGATTTATGTCTCTGAAGATGGATTCAGCTTGGTGGTCCTGCAAATCCTGCTCCCTCCCCCCTTAATGTTCCTGTGCCCTATGATAAAATGACACAGTCTGTTCTTATTACTGTTAAAATAACAGAGCAGATGTTAACATTGCTTCTCAGTCACTGTTTTTCCAGTGTAAAAGCAGCTCCAACAGCTAGTCCCAGCTCCTTGCAGTGGTTTCTCTGTCTGAAGAAGAATTAATGGACATTAGAACCTGTAGTTCAAACACAAAAGGAGTGGGCACCACATCTCTACATCCCGCACATGTCTGGAGTGGGAACTCCACTCCTCCTCCCCTTCAGCTCTGTGATGGGTCTGAGTCAGGTCGAGGTTACACTGCACTGGCACTGCTCATTGCTTCTTCAGCAGCAAACCTGGAAGGGTGATACAGCACAGGTAGTCACTGCCTCCTTGTCACTAGCAGCCACAAGCAGGGTGAGTGTCTTGTCAGGGTGAATAAAGCATGGAGGCTGCTTCAGGAAACATCTTTCTGGCTTGGACAGCATCTTTCAGCCATCATTTGCTGTGTGCAGCTCTCCGGCAGCACATCACAAAGCATCCAGGCAGGTGGAAGTAAAGAAGAAGGAACATGAAAGACCCAACAGCATCTGTGTGTGTGTGATGGAAGCAAAAAAAACCCAGATAAATAAGTATCTCCAAGTGCTGCTGGAGTGTATCGGTTCAACTGACATCTCAACTGTCCAGGTTGTTGTCCTGGCCAATGTGACTCGCTGTGAGGTTTTAAGGAACAAAAAAATCCACATTTTTTTTTCAGGTCATGTAATGGCTGTTGGCCATTTCAGCAACTGAGCTTCTCTGGTAGAAGAGACAAATCAAATGAGCCTGTCAGGCTCTGTTTGAAAGCTCGTTATGTATGGAGAGGTGAGGACATGCTTTGTTCCAGTTTTAAAGGGTTGCATCTTAATTTGAATTGCCTTCCGATGTACCTTTTTGTCTTCCAACCGGCTGCTGTGTCCTGCAGGTGAATCAAAGCGTGAAGAATGGCTGAAGTGCAGAGCATCTGTTCTGTTCTGCATCATCCTATAATTGATTAGAAATAATGGCTCTTAGCAGTGAAACCCATTTTCTCAGCACATTGAAATAAATCACTACTTAGAGGGGAGGCGAACAGCAACACACGCTCTTACCTTCTTTGAAGAGCCTTTGAGCAAGTCCTATTTTTTAAGACTGATTCACCTGCAGTCAATTTTTTCCTGTCTCCTGCCCTCCCTGTGCAGCATTTTTTATTGTATAAGGAGGGCTACCCCCTCCTGCCTGTTACTTCTTTCCAAGTGGTGGAAATGCTGCAGATTTTCCTTAAAAATCTGATAAACCTCTGGGAGCAGGATGGAGTGATCACATGCACATGGAGCTTTCAGTTAGGTATGGATCCAAGATCTGTAAAGAAAAAGAGGGATCTGGGTTTGCCAGCTGAGGATGTGTCTGAATTCAGAGCGAGAAACCAAAGAGCAGTTGGGGTCTATCAACCCAATGGCCCTCGTGGTTGAGGCAGGTGAGGTGGTTTGAAGGACCAACGTGAGGTTACTACTGCTTGGGCAGCCGCTCAGTTGGGGGAAAAGCTGGGTCGGTGATCCAGAGCTCCAGCCTGCCCCATGCGGGAGGTGCAGAGCTGTCTTGCCAGTATGAACCCAGTGCAGAACCACTCAGGAAACAGTGACTCTTCACATGGTGCTCCCTTGGGGGTGACCATCTGGTGGCTGTCACCCCAAATCTGATAGCATCACACTCTGCCGTCCACCACAAGGGTGTGACAGTGACCTCTGTGGACTGACGCTCGTTAGTGCAAAATTTGGAGTTTGCAAGAGCTCGGTGATGGTTTTGTAGTGTCACAAGCCTGCATGCAGATGGGAAGATTCAAATGGCCTTTCCAAAGAGGCATCTTGCTTAAAAATGCTGCCATGTGTGCAGGGCATCATCAACCAAGACAGCCATAAGTGGGAATTCAAGTGTTTTCATTTAAAACCTATTAAAAAACATTTAAAGGTAATACATTAAATTAAATTGTGAATTATTTCCAATTGGAATAATCTAACAAGTTAGGAACCCAAAGGAGAACTGTTCAGAGACCTATTTGCACTTCACTTGCAATAGATTTAGTTTCAAAAGCAATATTAATGATGAGCATCTGAATAGGATGCGTCGTTAGAGGGGAAATGGCCCTCCATCACCTTGGAAGTGGGCTTCCTGTTCTTTTACCTTCCCTTCTCAGTCATACTGCCAGAACAAGAGAAACGAGAGAAAAAGGTAGTGATAGAACAAGGGGTGATGGCTTTAAACTGGACAAGAGTAGGTTTAGATGGGAGATGAGGAAGAAATTCTTTGCTGTGAGGGTGGTCAGACACTGGCCCAGGTTGCCCAGAGAAGCTGTGGCCACTCCTCCCTGGAAGTGTTCCAGGCCAGGCTGGATGAGGCTTTTAGCAGCCTGGGCTAGGGGGAGGAGTCCCTGCTGATGGCAGGGGGTTGGAACTGGATGAGCTTTAAGGTCCCTTCCAACCCAAACCAATCTGGGATTCTATGAACAAAGTTAGTCAAAAGCTGAAAAACATGCCAGCTTTTCCTAGTTGACAACTGATGAGATTATTACTCTTAGTCAGCATTGAGGATCGTAAGGCTTTTGCTTGCCCAAAAATCCCCCTCCATGAAGAATCTGGCATGTCTAAGACAACATATGGGTTGAGGGAGGAAGGTGGTAAGACACAGAACAACAAGGGAAGGCTGTGGGCAAGGGAAGAGCTCTTGGTAACCAGTTTAGTAAGTTTAAAATCAATACAAAAAGGCTGCTGCAATTCCCCATGGCATCCTTCCAAGAGCTGTGTCCCGGTGATCATGTTTCTGAAACAGCTTTTGCAATTTCTGTAGGAATAAAGTCAGGGAGCACAGTACGGTAGCCGGAGAAAGGAGGGGATGAAAAATTCCTCTTCCAACTCTGCATCAGAGGATGTGACCCAGCTCTGATCATAACTTCTGCCTTGGTTTGCTCCATTTGTTGTTGTGTTTCTTGTAGAGTAGCTGAAATCTGAGATAGCACTGAGGAGAGGTTTGGTGTTGGGCTAATGAAACCTTGCTGCCTCGTTAGCCAGGAGAGTGTGGCAGCTGGTCTGCTCAAAAATAACTTTTGCCTTGTTGTTTTGCAGATATCTCGAATGGAGTACGTGCATTCAAAGAACCTCATCTACCGAGATGTCAAGCCAGAAAACTTCCTTATTGGCCGGCAAGGCAATAAGAAAGAACACGTCATTCACATCATAGACTTTGGATTGGCGAAGGAGTACATTGACCCGGAAACCAAAAAACACATACCTTACAGGGAACACAAGAGCTTAACTGGAACAGCGAGATACATGTCCATCAACACTCATCTTGGCAAAGGTCTGTGTGGTTGGTGGGAGCTTTTGCCGTGCCCAGTCCTGTAGACGTCCAATGGTAGCATGGCTTACAGCTCTCTTGTGCCCTCTGAGCTACCTGTAAAACCTCTCAATGCCATGATGCTGTTTACAGTTGTGAAGCTTTTTTTTTCCCCCCTTTTGAGGATTTGAGACAGCTGAAATGTTGGAAGCCTTGTAATTATAGGTTTTATTAGGAACTAAACAGCTGGTAGCAGCCCCGCACTGATAAAAGGCGAGTAGATGGGTAGTAATTGCCGCATGAAATGATGACCAAATAGATTTTTATAGCTCAGCTCTGTACTGGTACCTTCTAGTTCCAGGTGTTAAGAGTTGGATGTTCCCTGACCTAATAATTGGTTGGAGAAAATTAATGATTTAACTAATTTTAAACGTGGCTTTCATCTCCTCTCTCCACTGCATTCTTTCATACCAGAAAATTACATTTCTATGGCTGAAAGGCAAAAAAAACCTTATTAAATGTTTATATTCACCTAAACTCATCAGAGCAGTAACATAATGGAATATTCTTTGAGTAGCCTCCCAGCTATGAGATCAAGGTGTCGCAGGCTTTCGCATCTCTTGGAGAGCTCTTTCTTTGCGTAGTAAGGAGGGATGAGCTGAACTTCTAATTTGGGAAAATCTGGTGAAAGTCAGGAAGGGATGGAGGAATGAGAAGCCGCAGTGGGAGCAGGCTCAGAAACTGGTGGTGCCAGCGATGTGCTCTGTGGGTGGATGTGGAAACAAGATCCACTTGTTTTTGAAGTAGAACATGTGCCTTCTTTGGGACCCTTTTCCCTGCAGGTTGTGGGGGAAGAGGTGGTTTTGGGTGGGTGAAACATTGGCTACCAGCTCTGCAGGGACTTGTCTCTGCCCAGAACGGTTTTGTGGGGCTGATGGTTTGTTGGTGAGGCCAGCCCAGGTGGAGTCAGTCCCTTCACACTTCAGGACTGAGCACAGTGAAGGAGTCTGATTGCAATTTTTTTGAAAGATGAGTGCACTCAGTCTTCTTCCTAAGAAGTTCATCTGCATCGTTGCACTGAATTACCCAAGACATCTTCTTTTTTTTCCCCTTTTTATGGCTACAGGGTAACCTGCAGGAACTGTCATCTCCATTTCCTTCTGCTAAGCATTCTCATCCCCACCATCTTTTGAGGGTTAACTTTGCTGACGCTTTTGAAGGAGATTCATGCTGGGCAAAGCACTCCCTTTCTCTCCTCTTGCAGATGATGCAGCATCAGGGAGGGCTCACACGTACTTTCTTGTGGCGTGTGGGTTGCATGACTAGATCTGCTCTGGATTGCGGCTTCGGAGCACGTTATCTGCCTGCCAATGGAGATTTGGAGGAGAGGAGGTTGCATCAAATTGGTCTGCAAGCTCAGTGAACCCAAGGATGCAGCGCAGCACAGCAGCAGTCCTGTGCTGTTGTGCTCCAGATTTGTTGTTCTGTCTTGTATTCTCCCTTGGGATTTTTTGATACATTTTGATAGATTATTTTAAGGATGCATTTTCCTTTGGCTTGAGGCCCCTTTTTCACCTCCTCAGTTGTAACATCTGCATGGCAACAGCAGCAAGTATTTCACAAGGAAAAGCAGCGCTAGAAGGAGCTATTTTTGATCTGCTCTGATGTGCTGAGCTGCAGAAGCGCTGGGGAAAGGGTTGGCACTGTGCAACATGGTAGTTCCCTGCAGCTGGTTGCAAGTGTTCCCTGCTTATTCCTGTGTGGTTCAGAGGAAATCCCATCATCCACCACCCCATCACAGTTGCGTCATCAGTGCTGGCAGTCCAGAGAAGAACTGGGGAACTGTTTTATTCCTCTGCGATTAATACTTTCACCTCTTATCCATTCTGCCTGAGGCTGGGCAGTATGTCTTGCAGCTCCTGCATTATCTCATGCCTTCTAGCTGATCTTTTCTTTATGTATTTTATGTTTTTTTGTAACAGGTTCTAGGTATTTTTGCACAAGGTCTGAGCTACAGCAAGTGAACTTCCCTGTGATAACTTTTATCTCAGAAATAGGTGTAGCTACTGGTCAGATCTCAGATTCATTTCTGCAGCTGCAGCAATAATTTGTCATCTTTTCTGTTCTAGAGCAAAGTCGTCGAGATGACTTGGAAGCCCTCGGCCATATGTTTATGTATTTCCTCCGAGGCAGCCTGCCCTGGCAAGGATTGAAGGTAGGTTTGAGCTTTAAGTTTTGCCCTTTGAAACTTTGTCTGTTCTCTGCACAAACAAGAATCTGATTGGGGAAACATTTGCAAAATCCAGCCAGAAACGCTGTCCTCTCCTTTCTGTCCTTGAAGTCTAATGACAAGGCATTAGCTTTACCTACAGGAAAGATTTCAAGATGGAAATATGTTATCTGTCACTTCAAGTTATGGTTAGCTTAGCTGAATTGGTACAAGTCTGGAGAGAAGATTCAGCAGAGGCAGATGAGCAGCAGGGACAGGGACAGCAATGAGAAAACTGTTGAGCTGGTGGAGCCACTTTGCGGTAACCTGAATCTGCCCCGAGCTGGAGTGCAACTGGGACACAGTGGTTGTTTATGAAATTCCAGTTACAGCACACAATTCCCCAGCTGTATCTCCAAAACTTGTTTATAATGGGAGCAGTTTGGTGGTTTTAGATGTGCAGATGGACTTCAGCTTGAAAAACTGGTTTTCTGGCAGAAATATTGAGCTTGGCTTCCCTCCAGAGGCACTGGACACTCAATGCTTGGGAGTTTATGAAATGTCATGTACAATGTGGAGGCCTGCAAGCAATTGAGTTACAGCAACTGCAGCTAACATCCATCAGCCAAATTAAATAGTAGTAAGTCATTTGCTGGCTCTGAAGCTGTTGGTAGCTGTATCATGACTTCTCCATGACTTCCCTGATGATTAAGCTGCCATGTTCAACTTTGGAATTGCAGGGAGTGAAGGGATCGAATTTGATCTGGTTAGGAGAAGGTTTATTAATGAAGACAATAACTCCTGTTAGACCTGTTAGTACTGTTGGAAAAAGGAGATAAGCTTTTGGGCTCGCAAGCTGCTCAGCAAAGTGCTGCTATGGTCAGTGACAGTGTCTTGTGTGATAGATCTTGTTAAGCTGCTTTGTCACCATCTATCCGGCTTTAGTCGCAGCTTAACCTTATCAGACATATGCCAGAAATGTTGACAACGACTCATAAAAGCAAAGAAAGGGCTTTTCAAGCATGAAAGTGATTCTGAAAGAAATCAGAATCTCTCCAGCTTCAAGTTCACACCTCTGTAAGTGTGTGTTATTCCACTATGCGTTTTGTTTCTGGCTTAGTTGAACTCATCTGCTTTAAATTAATCCTGTAAATTATTCTAAAATAATACCAGGTTTAGACAAGATTCTACAAAATTTCCTCGGTTCAGTGCTGAACTTGATAAGAATTAGTTGACTGCTCTTGAAGTCCTGCATTTTTTTAGCTCCAGAACAAATATAGACTCTTTAGCTTGATCTAGAATATGGCATATTCACTCTTTTAGGTTTCCTCAGCTTACACTTCTGGTCTATGCTGTCAGTGCTAAAGTCTTGAGAGAACATTTTACGATGCTAATTATGCTGCTGCCAGATCTAATTGGCATCTTTTGAAATGGAGGCAAGAAAACCTGCTCTTAGGGTGCCAACTGGAGAAGAGTTCTCTGCTTCAGGGGGGATTTAGGTGGAAAACCTAACTGAAAATTGTTTCATTTTCTTGATGAGCATCTGTTTAATCAGTACTGTCTAAGTGATAGACAGTTTGGGGGTGAAAGGAGAGGCAGCATGGGATTTGGGAGAAGTGTGTCTGATGTAAACTAGTTATCCATGTGGTGGCATTCTATTATACACAGTAAAACCCAAACTGCTGTTGCAATTTGTCTACTTTTACAGTTGTTTATGAAGACATCTTGGTTGCTGATGGCTCTAAGCCTAGGAGAGGATACCAATGTGCAATCATAGTATATGCAGCTTTGTTTTCATGTCCCACGAAAGCTTCCCTATCCAATCCTCAGGACTGGGCTGGTACAAAATTAGTCAGCCCTGTAATACACTAACAAGTGTCCTTTCTTTCAAGTACTGAAGATGTTTTGAATGTGTCCCTGGATATTCTTTGCTAATAGCAAGTAAAATGTGTAGTAAGAATTACAACAGGGTAAGACAGTATTCCTACTAGCGTAGTTTAGGATGCAGTTCAGTTACATCTTCTGATATCATCCAGAATTGGTATTAAATACCTTGTTTTTCTTCCCATACAGCATGTCGTTTATCACATGGTTGAACTCTTTCTCCACAACTGTTTTGTCTTTGTGCGCTACAGGCTGACACCTTAAAAGAGAGGTATCAGAAGATTGGGGACACAAAGAGAAACACTCCGGTTGAAGTTCTCTGTGAGAACTTTCCAGGTAAAGCCCTGATGGGATCATTTGAGTGCAGTTGGATGTGGACATAGCTTGTTTAATATGATGGTTCTGAGCTCCTCTGGCAGAAAGTATTTGGATGATGTGTATCCATTATGTTGTTCCTCAAGCTGGCGGACGACTGGAGCTGCCGCTGTAAATTAGCGGAGTCTGAGAGCTTGTGGCTGTGGCTTAAAATGAGCATAACTCTTCTCATCAAGGAGGCTGGACAATGCTCAAGTGCCTCATCTTCCTGCTTTGCTTCTTGGCTTCTTTCCAAAAGAGGGCCTCATTATTTTCCCTCTCCCAAGTGACCGTGTTGGATCTACTGAGTTAATTCTTTTCCAAATGGAAGGTTTTACAGGTGTTAAAATTGTCGGTGGGCAGCTTAGAAGATGGGATGATGTGTCTGTCATTGAATTCCACCTTCTCACAACAGTTTTAAGGAGAGTGTTATTAAAGATGTGCTTCTAGCTAAGCCTGACACCTATTCTCCAGTTAGACAAAAGTCCACCGTGGAGCTAGGAGATCAGAGTATGAAACTAAAGCCCTCCCTAGGTACCTTGTGGCCTTCACAAAGTGGCTTTTGTCTAGGAAGTGGGAATCCTGACACCAGGGAGAGCACCTAGGTCCCCACGATCAGCTCCCATTCCTTTAGGAGACGTTGCGTCACATGGGTCTTTCCCAGCATGAGGAGCAGCAAGCCTGGAAGGGCATCATTGTTCACCCAAGTCATGCTAATTCCCCAGATGTATTTGCATCCAAAATCCACACAGTTCCAAGCAGAACAGCTTCAGGTTGGCTGTTCTCATCTTTTTCCCTGATACTCTTTCCTCAGAGTTCAGTCATACCTGCAGGTCTGGGCTGAAGCAAGATGAGAGAACTTATTTCTGTTCCTTGCTCACCTGAGCAGGAAGAGGGGATTACTTTTCTTCTCTTTTTTTTTCCTCTCTTACCTCAATGTGGCATGCAAGCTGCAAGCCAAAGACACAATCAAGTATCGATAAGCAATGCTGTTTTTATTTTTGCAAGCTAAAGGCAAAATCCAGGCTGGTGTATTATTCACACTGCAGTGCACAGACTCGCATCTCATACTGAGCTCTGCTCAAATGTCCTACCTTGGCTTAGGCATGAACTGAGGGACAGGATATGAGCTACCGGGGCTCAGCTCTCTGTGCATGCAAAGTACAGCCCAGGTGCAGGAAAGAAATTAATTAGCTGAATACCAAACACTGTTCAGTGTGCACTAGGTAAATTAATGTTGGAGCTTTGCCTTTGAAGTCTTGTTTTGAATATTCGAGGCTACGACTGATGACATTGGGCAACACAGTGCTCTGGGCAGCCAGAGCCTGATTGTTGCTGAAGCTCAGGGGTTCCACGCAGTGCCCACGAACATCTCCCACTTTCCTTCCCCAGATGAAATCACTGTGGCTGTTTTAAATGTCTGTGTGAACAAACATACACATGAGCATCCTTTTAGGAGGTTCACAGAATCATAGTATTGCTTTGGTTGGAAAAGACCTTTAAGATCATTGAGTCCAACTGTAAACCCACTGCTGCCAAGTCCACCAATAAACCATGTCCCTAAGTGCCACATCTACCCATCTTTTCAATCCCTCCAGGGGTGGGGACTCCACCACCTCCCTGGGCAGCCTGTTCCAATGCTTGACAACCTTTTCAGTGAAGAAGTTTTTCCTCAGATCCAATCTAAACTTCCCCTGGCCCAACCTGAGGCCATTTCCTCTTGGTCTATTGCTTATTGCTTGTTGCTTGGCAGAAGAGACTGACCCCCACCTCTCTACACCCTCCTTTCAGGGAGTGGGAAAGAGCGAGAAGGTCTCCCCTCAGCCTCCTTTTCTCCAGGCTAAACAACCCCAGTTCCCTCAGCCATGAACTTGTGCTCCAGACCCTTCCCCAGCTCCATAGCCCTTCTCTGGACACACTCCAGCACCTCAACATCTTTCTTGAAGTGAGGGGCTTGTTCGGTGAGCTGGCATTTATTATAGTGTGTTTTAGTGATTGTATTTGTACAAATGTATAGACTAAAACTAGCTGTGGAATTCAGATTTGAGGTGGAGCAGCAACTCTCTGGAGCAGGGGTGGGACTTCTATCTTTGCTTGAGAAGTGTTTGAATTGTTTTGCATTATGGACTATTACTAAAGCCCACTACTTCTATAGGAAAAGCCAGAGGTAGCACCAGCAGCCCAGACAGTTCTCTCACAGCAGGATGCTCAATGCTAAAACACAGACCTTGGTTTATAACAACTCATTGAGAATAAAAGCAGATTAGTATTAGATTTTGGGCAGGGCAGGAGGGCTCTGGAAAGCTGAGTGAGATTCATCTATCAATAAAAGACTATTGAATATGTCAGTGAGGTTGAAGACTTGTTGGATAGCCTTGACTTCTGTCAATCTGCATGGCTCAGCTGAACTTAGTGAAGCCCGGACAACTCACATCACTGGTGTTCTGGTCCTCAGCCCAACTTTAAGCACCAACTTTGAGCCTTGTGCCATAGGAAAGCCTCGTTGGAGTTAATTCAGTCACAGAATTACAGAATCATTTAGGTTGGAAAAGACTCTTAAGATCATCAAGGCCAAATGTTAACCTAACACTGCCAAGTCCACCATTAAACCATGTCCTTAAGGGCCACATCACTGAAATAAAATAGGATGGGGGGAAAAAAAAAATATGATCATAAGCTTGACTTTCTAAAAAAATCTCTAAACCATTGAATGAGTTGCTCTGGTGAGTATGAAAAGCATATTTCCAGTGTGTGTGTCAGCTCTGAGTGGTTTGTAAGTGACCTAGCTCATGTGTGAGCAGAACTGACGCTGCTGCTTTTTTCCCCTTTTCCAACAGAGGAGATGGCCACATACCTCCGTTATGTTCGGCGATTAGACTTCTTTGAGAGACCAGACTACGATTATTTACGAACCATCTTCACAGAGCTGTTTGAAAAGAAAGGCTACACCTTTGACTACGCCTATGACTGGGTCGGCAGGCCAATTGTAAGTTGTCCCTGTAAAATGCAGTGCCTTGCCTTCCAGGTGCTGCTTCCCCATCACCTGGCTCTTTGTTCCTGATAATCCCAATTGATGCCAGTGAGTTTAGGATCAAATCTTTCACTTCTGGTCTCTAGCTAACAGGAACTCAACATAGTGAGATGTCCTGACGTTGTGTTCAGGGGGTTCTTGCAGTGCCTTGAAGTTTCCCTAGGGAGCAGAAGGCCCCTTCTCACCTCTTTGGGCTTGCCCTGGTGGGGCATTCAAACCTGATTTTCCCACTTGTGGCAATGAACTTGACTAGACTTAATTTCCTCTAGTCTAGCACAGGATTTAAGACCAGTGTCTGAAGACGTCCCTCTTAAAGCAGGAGAGCGTACTTGCTATCTCAGCACTGAATGGTGGAAGACCTCTATAATGGTTGAGTTCTCATTGAGACATACGGGAGACCTAGATAGGGCTCTGATGGATGCTCAGTGAATAGTAACAGCAAACCAGTTCTGAGTTCAAAAGATCTTGGAGCTTACCCTACTCTGGAGGCTGAACCAGCTCTTTCTAGCACATGGTAAGGAGATGTGGAAGAAACCAAGCTCCATTTAGCAGTTCCGTGACACCAGGTGGACCATAACCATGATCTTGGTGCGTTGCTTCTGTTGTCAAAAGTCATTGGGAAATGTTATAGAAAAGTCTAAAGCTCTTCCCCTGGCTGCCTGTCACTTGCGTTTTGTGTCATCCTGCTGATAGCCTTCTTGCTAATGGTCAGTCACCACATGCTGGCAATTAATTAATGGCAATTAATTGTCACTGGTGCCAGATCAAATGCCTTCAGCGCTGAACTTGGTACCATTGCTGGTGATTTACTGTCCCAACTATATTTAGCATTTCCCATGTTTACTGTGCCCAAAACAGTTAATCTTCATGAGAAATCATTCCCTTGGTGAATCATGATTTTCTTTCTCCTCATTTTTGTTTAATTACAAAGGCAATTGATAAAAAGCCCCTTGTAAGATGAGCGTGCTATTGCTGACAACTGCAGTGGTTGCTATGGAGATTTTGATGTTGTGAGCAAGGATTATGACTTTGGTGAGAATACAGCAGATGAAGCTTTAATTTTAACACATCCTGTTTCTATTGAAGTGTTGTTTTTAAAAGTGGTAAGATGATGAGGAAAACAAGTCTGTATATTTTCAGTCGTAATAATCCTACGTGAGACCCATTAGGTCTGATCTGACACTGATACAGATACCTAACTATATCTTTGTAATTAATTTTTATACAAGGCGTTTGATGCTGGTGTCCAGCATCAATCACATGTTCATCAAGTCATGGGGATTTTATAGCCCTGGCTGTAGTTTTCCTTGGTTATTGTCAGTACCTTTGGGCAGCTTTTTGGTATTTTCCTGCTTTCTTCTACCCAGTGGAAGCCAGCCTGGTTTGTGCATGCATGCATTGAAAGAGAGAGAAGCATCTTCAGGATGGGCTTCATCCTAATGAACATCTTGTTTTCCAGCCTACTCCAGTGGGATCTGTTCATGTAGATTCTGGGACGTCCGCAGTAACAAGAGACAGCCACATCCATAGGGATCGACCATCGCAGCAAGCCCTTCGCAATCAGGTGCGTTGCTCACAACTGCTTTGGCAGTGTCACGTTGTTTGGCACCTCTCTGGATTACTCTTGGACTGGAGAAGCAGAAGCTATATGCCATTAGAGGTGGCTGGGGCTGATTCTTGCCTTGGTCACAGCAAGCACAATTCCTGCTTAATTTTGAGATTATGATTGATTTGCTTGTAATTTAGAGCAGAATTTTGTCAAAGCAACAGGTTGCTGAAATACTCTATCAGCCACTGGAATTCCTCGGGATCTTGAACCAAGTGGAGTACAATTTGGAATGGGTCATTCTTCTGTAGTTTGTGGCAAGCTGTTTAAATCAACTAGCAGCCTGGTCAGACTACCTGACCTACTTGGCCAACAACGTTCTTTTGGGTGCTTTTACTCATAGCACATGGACTGTGGAGAAGACCAACATTTGTGGTGATGGCAGCTTGCTCCCAGGTGCCCTCTTCCCATGGACCGCGCAGCTGCGATAAGGACGTGTCTGTCCCATTTATGCACAACATATCCTTCTCAGGGTGTCCAGTTCATGGCCTGGGCGTTGCAGAGCATGAAGGACTGTCAGGGTAGGGTCCCTTGGGGAGGCTGGGTGCCATGGTCCAGGTGAACTGCTGGTTTTTGAATTTGAATTTCCCCATTTTTTCTGTTCTAGTTGTAATATTTTGTTGGTGTTGAGAGTTTGGATTTTCTGTATTAACAGAACTGATGAGAAGTTCAGTAGATCTCCAACTGCTGGCTCCTAGCTAGAGCTGTTGGTGCTTTTACTTCCCAGTGAGTGGTTCTGGGCTCGCTCTGCTCCTCTAACCATTGTGTGCCGTTCTAGCTCTTGTTTGCCAGCTCTGCTCCCACTTAGCTCGTGCAGAATTAAGTGTGAGATGTAACAACCTGTCTGGGCTCAGCTTTCCTTGTTCCCTGTGGCTGGGCTTGGAATGGTAGAGTTGCTAACATAGGAATACATCTCAAGCTGTTAGCTACGATCAGGATCAATACCCCTCATTAGAAGTGTTGCTCATAGGAAGCTGGATGGTTTGAAGCACGTGTGCAGTACTGTATTTATGCATGCTGATTAGTGTGGATTGGTTTGTGAGTACTAGTAAAATAATCTGCATTAATATATTGCCTGATTAATGAATTAACCCCCCCTTTTTGGGTGGCAGTCTCTAGTTGTTCGCTTTGACAACAGACCTTCACGCTGTGTATGTATGAGGCATCTTGTTTCCTTTAATGGACAACAACGCCTGGCTTCATTTTCTAGCATGTTAGTTCCCAAATTATAGCACGTAGCCCAAAGAAATCTATCCTAGTCCCAAGATATGCAGGCAGCCTTCAGTCATCAGTCTTCTGAGCCCATCAGAGTCTCGATGCTGTATTGCACAGCAGCTTCTGTCATTTTTTTCACCTAAACATTACATTGGATGCTGCATTGTTGAATATCTCACTATGCAGGGAAAAAACAGTTTCTTTTCCAAGGGTCATTCCTTTTAAGTATTGAGCAAACAATTTCTCTAAAGGAAAAAGTAGAAAAAATAAACATCTAGAGCAATGAATAGGAGGCGGGGGTTTGGGTCAAGTGACTGCCTTGATCTCCAGATGTAATCACCTTATTTTTGTTCCCAGGTATAATAACTGCAGATTCTTTTTTATAATATTTGGTTCCCAGTAAAGACAGTGGTGAGAAAGTGATCTCCTTTTTGTACCCTTTTCCTCTAGAAGTGAAGATACTTACTATCAAAGATGGGTGAGCCCTGCCTCCTCTGTTTTTAGGTGCCAGTCTTGTCTTGCAGTTTGGTAGCTGGTAGGAAGGTGCTGAGTGTTAATAGGAACTTGATGCTCTTAAATTTCATTGGCATCTCTCCCTCAGTGTCACTGCTTGGGTTGCATTTTAGGAGCAAATTTACTCCAAAACCAGTTTATCACCTACATGGATGTAGAGCTAAAAGAGAAAAAAATGGCTCTAGTGGCCACTAGAGTCTTTCCTAGAAACTCCTTCCAGGCTCCTAGGCAGAAGCTTGCTTCTCACAACGTTCTCATAGCATGGTGCTACTTCATCGCCTGGGCTAGCCAAGTGACCCCATGCCGTAGTGCTATGGAAGAAGCAGCACTCAAGATCTGTCTTCTGCTAGCTTTTAAAACCTGCATTTAAATTCTCTGATTGTTCATAATCTTGTGACTTGCGGTCATTAAAAAAATATTCCAAGGGAAGCGCTGCTCCTTTGAATGTCACCAAGTACAAAAAGCATAAGCAGCACCTCAGGCTGACAAGAGGAACATGTAATAAGGAGATTTAATAGGACAAGCCTGGACAAGACCACCTCTAGGGAAATAGTACCTATGAACTGGATTTGGTGACTGCTTGGAAGGAGGAGTGGCACCGTGGGTCATTCCGGGAGGGAGTCAGAGGTCACATGAAAAGGGAATGATAAAAAATGTTTTATAAAATGCCAGGAGACTTCTTTTTTATCCTGCTTCCCTTTGCATGTGCTCCTGTTCTGCTTGAGTGACAATTTACTAGTTAATGTTGAAGTTTATTCAAAGGTTTCTGGAGTCTTTCTCCTGTGTGGAGCGGCTTGTGGTCTTTTTCTTCTTTTTTTCTTTTATTTACAGTGGCACTGAGCCCTGTGGCTTCTCTCTTGATCAGACCAGGGTTTGGGCTCATCGTCTGTGTCTGCAGGGAGTAACACAAAGCAATGCTGGAGAAAGGCAGGTCCTGGGCACCAATCTTTGGTTAGCTCCTTCAGCTTCACTGCTGACAACCTGGTGTTTATTCACTTGAGCCTCTTGTTTCCTGGCCAGGTCCATGGTGTCTCTGTTCAGCACCCCTCCTGCCAAGTGCGTGTGCTCTGGGGGTACTCCACTGCTCTGCCCTCTCTCCTTTCAAATTTATGCTTCAGCTTTGAAACATTTGCTTAAAATTTTTATACGGCATCCAGGGAAACACCTATTAAATAAGTCCCATCGGTCAGTTCAGGCTTGACTACATCCTCTGCTGTTAGCCTGAGGCCAACTCAGATCTACCTGTTTGTCCTACGCTTCCTGGTCTTAGGAAGTGTTCCTTCAGCTGGTCGGTTGGGTTTAGGCACACTGACATCCTCCTGGGTCTTGGGTTAATGCTGGAGGTGTTGTCATCAAAGCTGGGCAACCTGTGAGGAGCTTCACATGCAAGTGCAAAGTGGTTCTTCTAATAAAACAACTAAAATTATAATAATCTAATTACCTAAATTTTGCAACTGTTGAGGATAAAGAAGAAACTGTTAGCAAAAGTTTCTTATCTACTTTTCTGCAGAAAACCAAAAAGCCACCAACCCTCTCTCCAGTCAAGCAGGTGTGGTGGATGTTTCCTTCTGCACTGTACAGGTGAATCAGTGTGTGGAACTGGCTTTTGGTGAAATAAAATGTGGCTTTGTTTTATGTTGCAAATTTGAGTTTAAAAAGAAAGTATTTTAGGGAGGTCAAGCTTGGGTATCCAGTCTTGCTGCCATGCCAAGTGCTCTGGTGCGTGTCACCTGGCAGACGTAGTTGAACATACTGTCTGTGTGTTTATTTCTATGCTGAAACCCATGGAAATGAAGCCATGTAAAGAAATAACCTCCTGAATAGCTCTGAGCTTTCTCTTTGCTTAGCAGCTAGAGGAGAAGAAATCCACTCCTGCAGTGGATTACTGCAGACACTGCTGAAGTAAAGTATGAGGTGCACTTGGTAAAGTGAATTTTTGGCCCAGCTAAAAGTTTAAATGCCTTGCTTTTTGCAAAGAAACTAACTCACTAACAAACACCCTTTTAGTTCTTCCTCTCGTTCACCTTTTGCCCTTTCTTTTCCTCTCATGCTTCTGAACTCGTGAGCAGGCGTCATCAGATCGCCGAGGGGACTGGGAGATCCAGCCAAGCCGGCAGACGAATACCTCGTACTTGACATCTCATTTGGCTGCGGATCGGCACGGAGGATCAGTGCAGGTACCTCTTCCTCCTGATGTGTACTGCCTTGAGGCGAGAATTTGTGTTAAATCCCCTGAATTCTCCTCAAATTGCCGTAACATCATGGTCAGGAGAGCAGTTTCACAAGCTGGTTTGGTCCTATCCCGCATGTAACGTCAAGCCATGGTTTTGTGGGACCCAAGCTGTGATGACCAACATTGTTGCTGTTACCGTTTCAATGAAGCTTTTCCTCTCAGAGCGATTTTGAATTCAGATTTGTCAAATTTAACACAGAAAGGAGTGTGTATTAGCAGGTCTGGTCTATAAAGCACCCCTCTGTCTCCACCTTGGGGATGCTCTTAGTAAGAAGCAGCTGAAATAGAGTTTGTTGCATATAAAGCTCATAAATGTTAGGAAAATAGTTGAGCTCTTCCAGTTAGCCTTGATAGG